TAGCCAGTAGGCAAATTGTATAATGTAGTGACGAGTAGTCAGTAATAGTATGTTAATGTTCCGCGCCAAAACGAAAATCAAAATGGCTAAAGCGGGAAAAGTTTCTTCACAAGGAAAGTTCTGGAACAAAGTCTTCTTATACAAAAGGTACATGCATACACAACAAGGAAAATACTCACTGCGAGGTTTTATAATGTGTGTGTAATGTTATCTTTTTTTTAAAACTGGTTCGTAAAGGTTAGAGTTCAAAAGGTGTATGTGAAGTTCATCAATCGGCCGTGTCGAAAAACTCTACGTTCCCAGGTAGTGAACGGAGGAAAGTTCGAACAAGTTGTTCGCAGAAGGACGAGGAATTAGTCTTTTTAAAAGTGTGATGACGACTCTACATTCTCCGGTAGAAAATGGAGGAAGGTTCAAACAAGTTGTTCGAAGAAAGTTGCAATCACATGAAAAGATTCGGCATAATGAGCCAAGGAGTCACTAGGAAGTTTTTGGTTAGTTAAGATATTCCGGCCCGCGTATGGGTAAGGGGCGCGAAATAAATGACTCGACCTTCTTGTTCTGGAACCAGGCAGCGACTGAATTGAAAAACCACGTTCGTCAGTGACGTCAGAGAATGCGCGGGAAAACTTCATATTCCGTTCTAGCTGGAATCAGCAGCAGCCAGCAATCTCCTCACGTCGACAACAGACGGCTGGTTTACTACTATGTCTAGCCGAATGTGAAGGAAGGGGTGCAATACGCGTACGCACGTAAAAATAGGTGGAATCCCTGCGCGAGTCCACAAGGTTTTGACGAACTATTGAATCCGGTTATCAGTTAAGATCAGTTAGATCCAGTGACAGGACCCAAAGAGTGTGAGTTCAATACCCGGTTAAGGCAGTGGAGAACTTTCAGAGGGAAATTAGCAGGAATTAACTCATAACTGACATCCATCAAACATGGCACGTGGAACTAGAACAGTCTACCCCAGTGAGCGAAATAAAGGGTTCAGTTCGAAATTCCAACCACCTGAAGAAGGCCGGAACATACAACGGCCGAAACGTTGTGATAAATATGGCGACACAGAATTGGACAATAGTCTGAATAATGTAAATAATGTAAGATAGATAGATAGATAGATAGATAGATAGATAGATAGATAGATAGATAGATAGATAGATAGATAGATAGATAGAATGTAAAATTAGCTGAATTTTTATTGACAATTTGCTAAACTTTTATTGAAAATTTACCTATATATTGTTTGATCTGTATGATCAATGGGGAAAGATTAGATTAATGCATTGGCAATAAAGATATTAGGTTGAAAATAAAGGCCCTTTTTTCATTAAACTATGGACATTGATTTAAATTCCTACATGTAGAGCCTGTCTTGTGGCTGAAACAGTTATGTACCGCCAATATAAAGTTTTAACTCCCTGTCAATTCTAAATTCTTGTTATAAGGCACAATCAAGACTCAAACCACGGTGTAAAATTTTAAAGGACAAACATTTATTACAGTATACAGAAAGAGAAGAAAAAATCGCATATAAGACTCTTGCACAAAAATTTCCTCTTGTGCGCCTTATAAATAATTAAGGCAGGATAACATTTTCAGATATATTGCAAAAATAGATTACCATCGAAAATGGAAAAAGGATTACAATTTAGAAAAAAAAAACAAAGACTTAATTTTGAAAATGTCTGAAAGAGAAAACATTCAAGAAGACAGTAAAAACAAAGGTGCAACCACCTTCTAGAAAAAACGAAAAAAATACTTTTACTTGTCCTACGAGTGTCTCTGAGACATATAACATCTTGGAAATGTCTTTTTTTATATATATTCCCTCTGTTCGTGCTTCACTGAAGCTTTGAGAAAAATTAATTTTAAATCTTTTTTCGTTCATTGTTGTCCAACCGAAGAAGAATTTTCACTTGTGAACTTTAAAAATTCATTAGGTTCTCTGCAGCTGGTTTGTAGCTCTGTGCCTTCTCGCCTGAATGTGTAGGTGTTTTCTTCTTGATGTCAAATGCGTTCTCCTTATATGCTCACCGGAGTTTTATTTATTAAAAAACAAAAGGCTCACAGAAGGCCCCATCCAAGTTTTTACAAGGGCTTGAGACCATGTTTCTCATTGGCCAAAAATACGAAAAAATACTTTCCATAAATTCGAAATGAATCCGTAACAATTTTGTCGATTTTTAGCGGCTGAACCTAAAAGTACATACATGTGTAACAAAATTTTACAAGAACCGTCTGGCTTTCTTAAAAATACACTTCTCTCAAAAGAATGTGTACAAAAAACTAGACAAATGAATATTTATTATTACACCAAAGACTAACAGTAATTAAAAAAATATTTTTTATACCTACTGGTGAGCACATTTGGTATTTAAGTGCAAATCAAGATTTTGAATAAGTTTTAAGGAGTTATGAGTAATGAGGAGTTTTAATCTTTTATGTGAAGAGTGTTTGTTTCTCCCCTTAAAAGATTAGTGTAATATAATCTTCCTACCCTGTACTTTTCCTCCCCCACATTTGGCTTTAGGCTGTACTAAGCTAAGCTTAGCAAATATCAATACTGTGTGTGTTCGAGAGGGGTTATTTAATGTCAAATTCTAAATATTTTCAAACGCAATTGTATGCCTTCAACTACAGATAAAATATATTGTTGGTCATTTTGCTATAAAATTGTATTGTTGGTAATTTTGCTATATTGTAATGTTGGTAATTTTACGAGAAATATTGTTGATAAATTTACTATAAAATGTATTTTTTATATTACCTTAGTGTTTTTTGTTTTTGTTTGGTGGTTCACTATTTACCCATAGATGGGTCCCTAACAAGTGCTTATATCACCCTTTTGTCATGATGGACCTGGGAAGAACAACAATTAATCTCTAAAGATTGAAAGCTCTAATCTCCCGATCAGAGGACTTGCTGCCGAATGTAGTTTATCGTCATATCCAGGACACGTACGTGCGTGTGTGTGTGTGTGTGTGTGTATGTGTGTGTGAGAGAGAGAGAGAGAGAGAAAGAGAGAGAGAGAGAATCTAAGCTTTGAAAAAGAGTTTTCATTTTTTAGATTAAAAAGAGAATGGCGGCTAGCTAATTTGCTAACCGCCATTCTTTGACATGCGATCCTTTAAAAAAATGTTTTTTTTTCAGTCTGCTTTCTGAGTTTGATACTCTCTTAGATGCCCTGGGCTGTAATGAAAACAATTTTAAAGTTCTAAAAAGTATATTTGAGATTCATACATAAATATTTTTATTAAAACTTATAAATATATAATTTACATATCACTCTATGATCGATTTGTCAGAAAGGTGACTTCTTACTGTTATCGGCCTTTGGAGACATTTAAAAAGTGGGGAAAGAAAACTATTTTTGTGGGTTTAGTTAAAATACATTGGGAGATCAAGCGACAACAAGGTGTACCGTAAGAAAAATGGCGAGAGATACTCCGTGAGATATAAAAGTAAAACCAAGACAATTTTATTAGAATAAAATGAAAGCAAATTTTACTAAAATAAATATTAGGAACGCACAAATTTGGCGGTTTATGCGCCTATAAAAGGGGGTTAATAAATTCCTTGACAAGTAACTTATTTTTTCTAAAGTAATGTTCAATAAGTGGTAGTTGTGGGGAAATGATCAAGTGTACAATCAATATCAATCAAATAACATGAGATATCACAAGAAAAATGCCAGCGTATAGAAAACAATGCAAATTACAGTAAAAGGGTTTCAGTGAGGTCGAACACAATTAAAAGGGTATATTTACCTTGAAGGTATGTGAATATTCTTAAATAGTTCTTGTGATTTGATTTGAGTTGTCAATGTTCGTGACAAAATCCGTTCATGCCTTCAGATTTCAGAGTCTTCAACGTAGAGCGTTGTTTTTAGAACAGAACTTGCTCCCTGTTGTGGAAACGACTATTTTGTTACCATAGTCGGAGTGAAAATGAGACTTAATTCTGCCGTGAAAACGACAATTTGGTTGTTAAGATTTCGTTGAGGAATGGATTCCTTTGAGTCTACTCTCAGTCAGGTTTTCAGATGTTTTGGAAAACGTCGCGGCGTCACCCACACCTCAGCGTGGCGTCTTCCTTATTCTCCTGATGGTCGTATTGCAGGGCTTTTAATAGCCAAAGGTCGACTGATTTGCCCGAAAAATTTTGTTGGTGAACACAAGGATTTAAGATTTCAAACGCATCGTGTCCAAGGGTTTTTGCGCATACTGGCCTTGATCACACCAGATAATGCGCTCTCTCCTATAAACGGTGTAGGCTCTATGGGTGTTGAAACAACACAAATGTGCCTGAGCAGGTGTCTGCAGTGGGGATTGTCTAGCCGCCTTAGTATACGAGTGACCATTATAAAATTTATAGACTATCATCAATTCATTAGCTAATTTAAATTAATTAAGTAAAATTGATTATTAAATAAAATTTATGACATTTAAAAAGTTTATAAATATTTGATTTTGATTAGTAAAATGTCGTGGATTTTCATAATTATACCATTGTCCCGCGTTCAAAGCCGCTTCAAGTGATTACTTTCTTATGAAAGAAACAACAAAAACTAAAAAAAAAAAAAGCGAAGTGAAAATGTCATGTGGTATTATCGATTAAAGGGAGGTAACTCACATGTTGCTATTGCGTGCAGCTGTCGGCGGCTGTGAATAGTGAACTTGCAGCTAAAGAAGGAGGAGGAGTAGGAGGTAAAGAGCTCGAAGGAGTAGGAGGAATGATCAGAAATAGACGACAAGGATATCGAACTCCTGCGTAAGCCACCGGCTAGCAGAGACGGATAAAAAAAGAAAAATACATTTTTGTTTGCTTGGTTAGTAAACAACAGCCACGTTCTTTATTAAGGTTTGTTTTAAAAATCTACACCTGAGAAATATGTAGTGCACGTAATCAGTGCATTATTTTGCAATTGGGTTCCTACCTTGATTCTGAGGCCACAACCCGACCATGTGGCCTGGTTCCTTACGTGATAACATCAAATTATGGAGCTTGAACGTCTAGAGGAGAAGTACGAACTTCTCCGAAATGAGGTAAGTAGATCTATTCAATCTGTAATCAATCAAAACAGAAAAAATGCATTGCAACATGATAATAAAAAATGTTTAATTGAGTTGAGTGTTTAAGAAACAGAACACCACAGCCACTAGTTGTGATTATAGTTGATTTGTTTAGTACTTTTTAGTAATAACATTATTATTTCATTTTATTATTATTATTATTATTGCCGAGTTTATGAAGTACCGGACAATTGAGCAACAAGAAGAATCTCGAATTTCTATGTGATTAGCATTTTTATTTTTTAGACTGAAGAAATTGTTTTATGAACGAAAGAATGAATAAAGTAAACTAGTCTGTACACTACACACGATCGATAAGTAATGGTGTGAAAGTAAAAATCAATCCGATATCAATAGTGGTTCGTTAAATTATTTGTCGTGTCTTTAAACTTACGCATTTTTATTTGATTTCTAACCGATTTAAAACGTTCTTCATCGTCCACAGAATCAAAATGAAAACAGGTTTTCACTCAAAATTAAAAAAACACTGGCTTTTCTGCTTCTCTTAATGTACTGGCCGCAAAAGATCTTCCTAGGTAAATTGAAATATATTCGTGAATTAAATTAATTTCTGCTTTTTATTGCCAGAAAAAAAATGGTTTAGGTATTTTGGATGATATTTTCATTTTTATTTCTGATTTCGAATCCAAACATGGGCTCAGAATATGAGGTTAGTTCAAAAGATTAATGAAAAATGTAAGGGAGGTAAATTAATGTTTGGTATACAGGCATCATTTGAAATGCTAAACTTAACAATCCCTCAATTTTCTCTAGTTAGTTGTTAAACTTTTAATTTTTTTTTTTCTTTAAATAATTTTTTTTTTTTTTTTACTGAACTTGCAAAACTAGGCTACTTATTTTATTAACACTAACAGTGACTAATTTCAAATTATGAAGTTTAGAGAGATTCTTTTCTTTAGTTTTTATTTTCTCTCTTCTCTAGCATTTGGAGTGGAGGAAAGGAAGGAATCAATTTCAAATATTGTTTTGTTTTTTCGTTGTTTTTTTTGTTTTGTTTTTTTCCTAATGATTTCATTTAAAAATCCCATATCGTTTAAATGGTAAGACTAAGAGAGGGGAAAATATCTTTTTCATTCATTACAAAAAGCCAGAAAAACAATTTGTTAACGCAAGAAGAACATTCCACCACACCACAAATGAATTCAACGAATTATCAGTGTTCAGGTCTTGTTTTCTAGTTTTCACATATATCAGCTGTTTAGTTACTCTTTCTTTTGACAACCCTTTTTTGCGAAAAAGAAATCTGGTTTGAAAATACTTGGCTGACAACTATTGATTATGTTATTAATCGATTAAATAAATTAGAAATAATGATTCATTTTTTAGAAGGAAATGTAAATCTCTTTCCTTCTCAGCCTAGGCCCTAAAAGTAAACTTTCACGTTTGGCTTTTAAAAACGAACATATGTCGTTTTGTTTTCTTTTTCCCCAGTCTGAGCTGTGATTAAATATTGTAAATGTATGTTCTCAGTTAATTTACTTATGGAAGGAGTGAAGAGAACAATGTTTCTTTTTCCTTAAGAAAATAATGTGAACAAAATACACACCTTGAAACTTGCTTGAATTGAAATTTGAAACCTATTTTCTCTGGTTTACAACTTGACACATAGTCGTACACTCATTCAAGCATGATTCATTAGAATTTTTCATAAGTCGACGATCGACACGGATTTTTAAATAAAGAAAAAACATAAAATCTATTTAATTTATTGCTTTTTTTTCTTCTTTTTTTATTTAGCTTTAACAACTACTAAAACGTGGAACAATTTTTATTTGTTTCATCATCTGGTAAAAAAATAAATACGCACTTTGTGTTCCGTATGCGTTCTAGTTTATTTATTTTGCAGAATAAATGCGTTATAATTTTGATTAACTATAAAGAAAATCCTATGATTTAATTATTAAAAAGAGAAGATTGAGAAATTTTCCTTAAAAAATGAAAAAAAAAATAACAGGTTTCTTGCTCTCTTCCTTCAGTCAGTTACTTTACTTGTTTCACATTAAAAACTGTTTTGTCAATAAAACGAACCAATAAATTATATTTTTAAACAAAAAATCTTTATCTGTAAAGTGTAAACCTACCTGTCTGTCATAGCAACAATTTCAGCTGATAAATGCTAGAAATGTGAAACCAATTTTAATAGGTGCCTGATGTACGCTTTTAAAACTAGGTACCATTTTAAATGGGTTTTTAAAAAAATTAAAATAATTAAAAAGAATTAAAATGAAATTTAGTCTGTTCTTAACATTTTTATATCTGTTACTTAGGCAAAAAAAAATTTCTGTTTCATTAAATTGCAAGATCACTCATTAACTGAGCAATGTTTTCCTTTTCCAACTATGTTTTAGTGACTGTGTTATTACTCAGGTGTATTTGATAGTCTATTAAATACACTTCTTGTTCATACCTACGACTCCTGTAGTTGATAAATAAGTGCAATACTTATTAAAATTAGACAATTACAATTTCAAACTACATTGTTTCTTGTAAGTTAGCTTATGTGTCAGTTTGAAAAATGTAAAGTTTTGCCATTCAATTATGATAAACTTCATAACTTTCAACAAAATGAGAGTAAAACTGCTGCAACCAACACTTAGTCACAAACTACTTTATTTCCTCTGACCATGACATTGTGAAATATAAAAGCTAAAATAAACAAAGGTGAATAAAGAAAGAAATATCTTTTTTTCAGTGATTATTGTCCTTTGTGAAGTTCTTGAAAAGTAAAGATAAATTGTTCTTTTCATACACGTCATAACATTTATTATTAAAATTAAAATATGTCAATCAATTTATGTCCTGATTTTCAAAGGTCCTGCTAGTTGTTAATTATTCTCTATTAAATTATAGGATTACCCTACTTGTATACCAAGGAACTTCTGCTAATGACCACTAGACGGTGTTACCAAAAACAAAGGAGTGTTGTAATGTCAAAATAGCTGAGAATTAAGAAGGTTGTAGTTTGAGAGAATATCAAAGGAACAGAAGCCTAAGTAGGGAGGTTTATTAAATACTCATAAATCAACTACTTCTCAAATCTCACTCTAATGTGGCTACTTGCCATATTTATAAGTAGAGTGGTAGAGAAGAGAAGGAAGTATACTGAGTACTACTCTACAACACGCAGTCTCTTGGGTCAGTCTGTTGGTTATCCATATCAATATACACCTGAGGAAAGCTAGAGAAGACAACAGCCACAAAATTGATAACAACAACAAAGATAAAGACAATAGTTCACATATAAATAGTGCAAATAAAGTCTCTCTGCTTTCCCTTTTAGCCACAAGATTACTTTGAGATAAGCTATGTCTCATTTCCCCTCTGCAAAGGGGACTTTTAACCACTAGCAAACTTAACATTATTGTACACAATAAAGAAATTACACAGAATTCAGTTCTTTAAACTTATTTGACTGCGTAATTATACCAAGTCAACAAAGAACACTTCTCTATATAAGTCTCTTGAAATCTTTTAATAGAACTTTATACACAGATATGTACAAAAAAGGACATATTTGTATAGACACCTTCATTTACCTCCTTTTATATTCTTTTTGTCTATTTCATCAAGGCAATAAAAATGTTGTCACTAAATGTTTGTACATTCATTCTTATACTATCTTGCTTGAAACTCCCTTACTCTATCACTATTAATCACTACAAAAGGTATACTAAATCTGCTTGTTATAAAAGAAAATACAATGTGGGCCTTATACTATGCATAATACCATACAACTTGTTTTTTTAGTAACCAATGAAAAAATAAAAAGACTTTTTAGATTAAGGCTAATGTACTACATCAGTGTAACTAAAATTGGGTATTTAACTTTAAATAAAAGAATTTTTATAATATCTAATAATATAAGAAAATATTTCAGTGATTTGTTTTTCTTTTTTTGTTTTTTTTTATCCCCATATATATCTATGCTGCCCTGAACTTCATTTCTTCCAAAGAAATGAATAAAGTTCCAGAGATCTATCAAGATTATACACACACACACACATATATGTATCTATATGTATATGATAAAAATTGGAAAATATAGTTTTAAGTTATACTATATTTATGAAAGTGATCAATATTAGGGATAGAGCATATGTAAATATAAAAGTGGACACCCAGTGGCAACAGTCTGTTTCATGCTTAAACACAATTTTCAGGCCACATATATATATGTGTGTGTGTGTGCATGCAATCAACAGCAGTACCAGATTGTGCATACCAATGTTAGTAAGTCTAGCCTTAAGTATATATTAAACTTATTCAAAGATAGAGGAATGAATTTGGATATTTCCAACTATACAAAGGTATTCTGTATTTAATCAACAATGGAGGAATACAAGTCTCCAATCTATGAAATAACACACAACTCAGTGTCGGACAGTTGTTCTTTGGATACGTTCAGTACACTCTTACTGTTGAAATTAGACAAGCTTACAAAATTTTTACATATAATCTGCTATCCCTGTTGATTTTTTTCTAAGTTTAAATGGCAATGTGAACAGTTTCTTGTTGTAAAATCTCACCTGTATTTTTATTCAGATTATTTTTTGTCTTCTATCACATGTGCATTTAAAAGCGTACTACACAAAAAGATGTCAAAAGGAAATATAAAATAAATTTATACCTCCCTATTTCACTTGTAATCTCTAAAATGCCGATTACCATTTGATGTTAACCTAAACTTAATCAATAAGAACAAAATATATTTTCATTTCATTTTGACCTGAGGTAACACAAAATAACATTCACTTGTAATCAACTGTTGACCTACGAGGTCATTCTAAAAAGTAACAGGACTGGATGTGTTGTGTGAACTCTGGCCAAAAGGGAGATAAGCAGATTATGACATGATACCTTGGGAGTATATAAATGTAATCTTAGTTTTCTGCAACCATTGCATTCTTTTTCAAATGCTTTTGTGGCAGAACAAATCATGACTGCTTCACAAC